TCAGCGACTCAGTTGACTGAATGCAGTGAACTCCATCTCTGAGTTTAACATGCATTTGGGAATGCAACATGTCAGTTACTTATGAAATACTCATTTTTTTATTTTAATAAATAATTTTGTAGTAGTATTAGAGCTATCAGGCCTGAGGAATCTCAGATTCAGTTGATAAGAAAATACTTTATTTATGGTCAAAAGTAAATAAAATTGCCTTAAATTATGCCTCTAATGGTGTGCCATTTTCCCCCCCTGTATTATCAAAATTTTTTATTCAATATCAATATTTTAAGGTATTTTATGGAAGTTATAAATTCCAGTATTGTGACAGCAAGCTGGAATTTAGTAAGGAAGGAAGCTTGGACCTTAAGGAAGTGTTCATCAAAGCATGTCATCTATTCACCGTCATGAAGGTCCAAGTTTCTTTGTGGAACACAAACAGAATGTATTAGTTACTTTTCCTTGCAATTGCAGTAAAAGTGCAATTGCACCACAAAAGTGGTTTGTATGACTTTGTACAACATATGATACATGATAGCTTTGTGTAAAGAACTGATTGAAATTTAAAGCAGTTATTGACTTTAATCTTCACATCTGCCCTAGCTGTCTTTGGTGCATTGATTAGAAAAGAAGCAATTAGAGGTGTGCGATATACATCGTCTACGATAATATCGTAATTGTTGTTTAAACGATATGCGATTTGAATTTATTGATTAAATTGAAGAATTTGACACAAAAGTTGATGCATACATTTAATTAGGTTAGGAAAAAATTGGCCTTATAAAGGTAAAAATGAAAATCTATTTAAACGTACTGAAATTTTTCATTTCTGTTACTGCTGCAAATGAAGAATATCTGAAGCTTTGTATATTATATATGAAGAATATTATAAAAGATGTGGGAGTCAGCTGTCCACAGCAGTCCTAAACCTGTCCAAGTACCAGCACAACAAGATATAGTATTTTGCTGTATTCTGAAGCATGGAATGTTGATATGTAGTTATAGTAATTAGGAACTCCAGCAAGTGCTAAATCTGTTTTGTACAGTATTTCCAATCCTCACACTGATTTGTTGAGCCATAAGGTCATGGGCGGCTTTGCACCATGTTTGATGTATATTATCAAACACACACACAAAATGTGATTTTTGTAAACATCAATAAAGTTATAATACCTGTGTATTTTTAGCAATATTTATTGCTAATGTTTTTGATACTGTTCATTGGTGTCATTACAGTTTCTGATTAAGAGTAAGGCAACTGATTATCACTCACTGAGACTAATCTGATGAAATATGTAACTGACATGGGTCTTGCTGATCATGGTGATCTTTGAATTGGTGAAACCGACTAAAGGCAGCAACTTTGATCCACCAGGGACCTTTGTTTCGGCCAATTAAGCTGCTCCAAATACTTGATTGCCACGACCACCAGAAACCTTCTCTGCTGCTGGAATCTCCTCACTTGTGCATGTAAGCAGTCATTAATATTGGTTCATATTTCATATTTGCAGTTTCCAGTTCCCCCAAGAATGAAAATTATCATTATTTACTCAGCCGCAAGTTATTTAAAACAAGCCATAAGATTTTATTTTTTCAGTCGAGCACAAAAAAAAAAAGAAATTCTGTAGCTTCGCTTTTCATACAATAACATTTCATAGCAAACATGGACTGTCCAGCTCCAAAAAAAAAAAGCTAATTTTGAATCTGAACCTGTCGTATTAAGTTTTATTTATAAAGTGCCTTTCCCAAACTCAAGGTCGCTGTTTGAGGAGAAAATACATAAACACATAACTATAATATGTCTGTCACATTATAATAACCCAGTTGTGGACCAATTTTATGGTACTTTCATGGGCTTCTTGGTCCTTTTAAGAGCTTAACAGCATTTTTGGGTGAACATCTCTTGGGTAACTAGGCTAGCGCAGTCTGGTTTTATTCACTGTTTGGTTTTGCAAGGTCAGTTTTATTTAATGTCAAATCTCTTTCATTCACAGTGGAGTGGAGCACATCTGTGGAAGTTTCCAAGCTGCAGCCGGACCCCTTGTCAGAAAATGTGGCTGCTTTTTCATACCAGTCTAAACATACAGACCGTAAGTGTTTGAAAGGTCATCGCCTCTTGACACTTTCTGCATCTCTTTTGGTTAGCAGTACATTTAGAAGTAAACTGTATTAGTTTCTTTCTTTAATGTATCAGACTTATGCACAAACTAGTTTTAATGTGTTTTCTGATCTCTGTACAGTGTTTGTTTTCAAACCTAACGAGCCGAGGCCTCTGTTCACCCATAAGAACGTGTGTTCAGAGAAGATACATCGTGCCGTCTTTGTTCCTCGAGAAGAGCTGTTGAACAATTGTGACGAAAGTTCTCAGTGGCTCAACAGATCTCAACTGTACTTCCTCACCCAAAACATGGTATTTCAGTGATATTTGTAATCACAATGGCCTATAAACACATAAATGCATAACCGTAGGACGCTCCATTTGTGTTTTTTTTGTTTGTTTTTTTTAAATGTTTGTTAGTTCCTACACCAATTGAAAACCTAGACTGATTTTAAAAGAGTTTTTAACTCCTGAAAAAGACATGAACATTAATATAATTTTTATATTCAAAATTATATAATTTAGGTTAAAGTTTTTTAGAAAATATTTTTAATTATAAAATTATTGAATGTATAATAAATGATGCAATTTTATTTATTTTAAATATTTAAAAGATATAAATTAAATGATACATTTAATATGATAATAAAAAAGGTGTATTTCATGAGCTAGATACGGATTAAATGTCTTTGTAACAGCAATAATTGTAAACAACTGCATAGTCCTGGTGAGCTGTGGGTATCCTGTAAATATGTTCTAATGCTATAGTGTGCATACTGTTCAATTCTCAGGATTTATTGACCTTCAGCACAGCAACAGAGGAGGACAGAATGTTGTCTTCAAGTAAACGGGTACGGTTTTCTTTCTTACACCATCCTTATTCTCATTCATTTTGAAGACCCCCAAAGTAACTTCACTTGTGTGTCTTTGGTACAGCTTGTCATTGATGACAGTATTGCTGTAACACCGTTTTACCTGCTGTTGGGCAAACACAGACAACAGCAGCAGAAACTCAACACACCGTCCCATCCAGCAGCTGACAAACCCCAACAGCCACAGGGCTCCGTTACCATCACAGAAGTAAGTCATTTCAAGTAGGCTGTCTATTCGTTATATAGGTTTCAGAAGGATCATGCGACACTGAAGACTGGAGTAATGGCTGCTGAAAATTCTGCTTTGACATAAGTTATTTTAAATTGCAATAGTATTTCGCAATATTACTGTTTTTACTGTAAAAATATACTTGTGTGTGTGTGTATTTAAGTATTTATTTTTTTGTAATGTCTTTTTTTTTTTTAGTTGTTACACACACCAGCTCATGTTCTACCTGCTGCGTCAGTCCTGTGCTCAATGTTTGTCAGTTCCCTCCTGATCTCCAACACTGGAGTCCGGCAAGACCCCCTCAGGTTCTTTTTTCACATGCACAATATATATTTCCTTTGAAAGTTAACCAGAGTTAACTGGCTTACTTCTCAGTTTCCCTTCCCTTTTTTTTCCCCTGAGATGCTCTGTACTGCAAGCACATAAATGTTATATTTTTCCTTTTGCTTTTTCTGGCACTCTTACAGGGAAATGGAATCTTCCGAGCAGGAAATGAACAGTGAGAAAGAGGAAGAGCACTCTGAGGAGGAAATGGAGGCATGTGATAGTCAGCAGGAGCTCAGAGCTCAGGGTTCAGTGGATGAGGTGACGCCGAAGCTTTCTAAAGCACAAGAGAGGGAATTGAAGAGGGTCAGAAAGACTGACTTTAGCTGGATGGCTGGCCTCATTGACTCCAAACCATGATGAGCAATTTCACAGTCCTGTTTGTGTTTTTGTTTATTCTTGCTTTAGATCGAGACGTTTGTTTATTTGGACTGCAGCAGCCCATTAGTGGTTTGATAAGTGATTCCATTTGGAACAACAAGGACAGCAATGCTATTTTGTAACTCTGAATGTTAGTAAAATGTTCACTTTGTGGAACACAAACAGAATGTATTAGTTACTTTTCCTTGCAATTGCAGTAAAAGTGCAATTGCACCACAAAAGTGGTTTGTATGACTTTGTACAACATATGATACATGATAGCTTTGTGTAAAGAACTGATTGAAATTTAAAGCAGTTATTGACTTTAATCTTCACATCTGCCCTAGCTGTCTTTGGTGCATTGATTAGAAAAGAAGCAATTAGAGGTGTGCGATATACATCGTCTACGATAATATCGTAATTGTTGTTTAAACGATATGCGATTTGAATTTATTGATTAAATTGAAGAATTTGACACAAAAGTTGATGCATACATTTAATTAGGTTAGGAAAAAATTGGCCTTATAAAGGTAAAAATGAAAATCTATTTAAACGTACTGAAATTTTTCATTTCTGTTACTGCTGCAAATGAAGAATATCTGAAGCTTTGTATATTATATATGAAGAATATTATAAAAGATGTGGGAGTCAGCTGTCCACAGCAGTCCTAAACCTGTCCAAGTACCAGCACAACAAGATATAGTATTTTGCTGTATTCTGAAGCATGGAATGTTGATATGTAGTTATAGTAATTAGGAACTCCAGCAAGTGCTAAATCTGTTTTGTACAGTATTTCCAATCCTCACACTGATTTGTTGAGCCATAAGGTCATGGGCGGCTTTGCACCATGTTTGATGTATATTATCAAACACACACACAAAATGTGATTTTTGTAAACATCAATAAAGTTATAATACCTGTGTATTTTTAGCAATATTTATTGCTAATGTTTTTGATACTGTTCATTGGTGTCATTACAGTTTCTGATTAAGAGTAAGGCAACTGATTATCACTCACTGAGACTAATCTGATGAAATATGTAACTGACATGGGTCTTGCTGATCATGGTGATCTTTGAATTGGTGAAACCGACTAAAGGCAGCAACTTTGATCCACCAGGGACCTTTGTTTCGGCCAATTAAGCTGCTCCAAATACTTGATTGCCACGACCACCAGAAACCTTCTCTGCTGCTGGAATCTCCTCACTTGTGCATGTAAGCAGTCATTAATATTGGTTCATATTTCATATTTGCAGTTTCCAGTTCCCCCAAGAATGAAAATTATCATTATTTACTCAGCCGCAAGTTATTTAAAACAAGCCATAAGATTTTATTTTTTCAGTCGAGCACAAAAAAAAAAAGAAATTCTGTAGCTTCGCTTTTCATACAATAACATTTCATAGCAAACATGGACTGTCCAGCTCCAAAAAAAAAAAGCTAATTTTGAATCTGAACCTGTCGTATTAAGTTTTATTTATAAAGTGCCTTTCCCAAACTCAAGGTCGCTGTTTGAGGAGAAAATACATAAACACATAACTATAATATGTCTGTCACATTATAATAACCCAGTTGTGGACCAATTTTATGGTACTTTCATGGGCTTCTTGGTCCTTTTAAGAGCTTAACAGCATTTTTGGGTGAACATCTCTTGGGTAACTAGGCTAGCGCAGTCTGGTTTTATTCACTGTTTGGTTTTGCAAGGTCAGTTTTATTTAATGTCAAATCTCTTTCATTCACAGTGGAGTGGAGCACATCTGTGGAAGTTTCCAAGCTGCAGCCGGACCCCTTGTCAGAAAATGTGGCTGCTTTTTCATACCAGTCTAAACATACAGACCGTAAGTGTTTGAAAGGTCATCGCCTCTTGACACTTTCTGCATCTCTTTTGGTTAGCAGTACATTTAGAAGTAAACTGTATTAGTTTCTTTCTTTAATGTATCAGACTTATGCACAAACTAGTTTTAATGTGTTTTCTGATCTCTGTACAGTGTTTGTTTTCAAACCTAACGAGCCGAGGCCTCTGTTCACCCATAAGAACGTGTGTTCAGAGAAGATACATCGTGCCGTCTTTGTTCCTCGAGAAGAGCCGTTGAACAATTGTGACGAAAGTTCTCAGTGGCTCAACAGATCTCAACTGTACTTCCTCACCCAAAACATGGTATTTCAGTGATATTTGTAATCACAATGGCCTATAAACACATAAATGCATAACCGTAGGACGCTCCATTTGTGTTTTTTTTGTTTGTTTTTTTTAAATGTTTGTTAGTTCCTACACCAATTGAAAACCTAGACTGATTTTAAAAGAGTTTTTAACTCCTGAAAAAGACATGAACATTAATATAATTTTTATATTCAAAATTATATAATTTAGGTTAAAGTTTTTTAGAAAATATTTTTAATTATAAAATTATTGAATGTATAATAAATGATGCAATTTTATTTATTTTAAATATTTAAAAGATATAAATTAAATGATACATTTAATATGATAATAAAAAAGGTGTATTTCATGAGCTAGATACGGATTAAATGTCTTTGTAACAGCAATAATTGTAAACAACTGCATAGTCCTGGTGAGCTGTGGGTATCCTGTAAATATGTTCTAATGCTATAGTGTGCATACTGTTCAATTCTCAGGATTTATTGACCTTCAGCACAGCAACAGAGGAGGACAGAATGTTGTCTTCAAGTAAACGGGTACGGTTTTCTTTCTTACACCATCCTTATTCTCATTCATTTTGAAGACCCCCAAAGTAACTTCACTTGTGTGTCTTTGGTACAGCTTGTCATTGATGACAGTATTGCTGTAACACCGTTTTACCTGCTGTTGGGCAAACACAGACAACAGCAGCAGAAACTCAACACACCGTCCCATCCAGCAGCTGACAAACCCCAACAGCCACAGGGCTCCGTTACCATCACAGAAGTAAGTCATTTCAAGTAGGCTGTCTATTCGTTATATAGGTTTCAGAAGGATCATGCGACACTGAAGACTGGAGTAATGGCTGCTGAAAATTCTGCTTTGACATAAGTTATTTTAAATTGCAATAGTATTTCGCAATATTACTGTTTTTACTGTAAAAATATACTTGTGTGTGTGTGTATTTAAGTATTTATTTTTTTGTAATGTCTTTTTTTTTTTTAGTTGTTACACACACCAGCTCATGTTCTACCTGCTGCGTCAGTCCTGTGCTCAATGTTTGTCAGTTCCCTCCTGATCTCCAACACTGGAGTCCGGCAAGACCCCCTCAGGTTCTTTTTTCACATGCACAATATATATTTCCTTTGAAAGTTAACCAGAGTTAACTGGCTTACTTCTCAGTTTCCCTTCCCTTTTTTTTCCCCTGAGATGCTCTGTACTGCAAGCACATAAATGTTATATTTTTCCTTTTGCTTTTTCTGGCACTCTTACAGGGAAATGGAATCTTCCGAGCAGGAAATGAACAGTGAGAAAGAGGAAGAGCACTCTGAGGAGGAAATGGAGGCATGTGATAGTCAGCAGGAGCTCAGAGCTCAGGGTTCAGTGGATGAGGTGACGCCGAAGCTTTCTAAAGCACAAGAGAGGGAATTGAAGAGGGTCAGAAAGACTGACTTTAGCTGGATGGCTGGCCTCATTGACTCCAAACCATGATGAAATTGTGACGAAAGTTCTCAGTGGCTCAACAGATCTCAACTGTACTTCCTCACCCAAAACATGGTATTTCAGTGATATTTGTAATCACAATGGCCTATAAACACATAAATGCATAACCGTAGGACGCTCCATTTGTGTTTTTTTTGTTTGTTTTTTTTAAATGTTTGTTAGTTCCTACACCAATTGAAAACCTAGACTGATTTTAAAAGAGTTTTTAACTCCTGAAAAAGACATGAACATTAATATAATTTTTATATTCAAAATTATATAATTTAGGTTAAAGTTTTTTAGAAAATATTTTTAATTATAAAATTATTGAATGTATAATAAATGATGCAATTTTATTTATTTTAAATATTTAAAAGATATAAATTAAATGATACATTTAATATGATAATAAAAAAGGTGTATTTCATGAGCTAGATACGGATTAAATGTCTTTGTAACAGCAATAATTGTAAACAACTGCATAGTCCTGGTGAGCTGTGGGTATCCTGTAAATATGTTCTAATGCTATAGTGTGCATACTGTTCAATTCTCAGGATTTATTGACCTTCAGCACAGCAACAGAGGAGGACAGAATGTTGTCTTCAAGTAAACGGGTACGGTTTTCTTTCTTACACCATCCTTATTCTCATTCATTTTGAAGACCCCCAAAGTAACTTCACTTGTGTGTCTTTGGTACAGCTTGTCATTGATGACAGTATTGCTGTAACACCGTTTTACCTGCTGTTGGGCAAACACAGACAACAGCAGCAGAAACTCAACACACCGTCCCATCCAGCAGCTGACAAACCCCAACAGCCACAGGGCTCCGTTACCATCACAGAAGTAAGTCATTTCAAGTAGGCTGTCTATTCGTTATATAGGTTTCAGAAGGATCATGCGACACTGAAGACTGGAGTAATGGCTGCTGAAAATTCTGCTTTGACATAAGTTATTTTAAATTGCAATAGTATTTCGCAATATTACTGTTTTTACTGTAAAAATATACTTGTGTGTGTGTGTATTTAAGTATTTATTTTTTTGTAATGTCTTTTTTTTTTTTAGTTGTTACACACACCAGCTCATGTTCTACCTGCTGCGTCAGTCCTGTGCTCAATGTTTGTCAGTTCCCTCCTGATCTCCAACACTGGAGTCCGGCAAGACCCCCTCAGGTTCTTTTTTCACATGCACAATATATATTTCCTTTGAAAGTTAACCAGAGTTAACTGGCTTACTTCTCAGTTTCCCTTCCCTTTTTTTTCCCCTGAGATGCTCTGTACTGCAAGCACATAAATGTTATATTTTTCCTTTTGCTTTTTCTGGCACTCTTACAGGGAAATGGAATCTTCCGAGCAGGAAATGAACAGTGAGAAAGAGGAAGAGCACTCTGAGGAGGAAATGGAGGCATGTGATAGTCAGCAGGAGCTCAGAGCTCAGGGTTCAGTGGATGAGGTGACGCCGAAGCTTTCTAAAGCACAAGAGAGGGAATTGAAGAGGGTCAGAAAGACTGACTTTAGCTGGATGGCTGGCCTCATTGACTCCAAACCATGATGAGCAATTTCACAGTCCTGTTTGTGTTTTTGTTTATTCTTGCTTTAGATCGAGACGTTTGTTTATTTGGACTGCAGCAGCCCATTAGTGGTTTGATAAGTGATTCCATTTGGAACAACAAGGACAGCAATGCTATTTTGTAACTCTGAATGTTAGTAAAATGTTCATCCCATTTGCATCAACAATAATTTATAAAGAACTTTTTGTGAACAATGTACTGTGACGTTGACTTTATTTCAGTATATTTGTGCATTTTAATGTTAACTTTTTCCAATTAAAGTATTTAAACACCCTTGAATCAGGATACATTTACTTAAGAGGCAAATTGAACATATGAAGTCTTGTTTTCTGAGAAACTGAAGAAAATAACTTCATGATTTAAAGCAAGATCAAATATCTGTCAATGGGGTATGTAAGCTTGTTTTCCTGTTGAATTAAGTAGATTTTTCTGAGACCTTTGGCAATTATTTAAACTCACTTTTTTTTTACTTTTTTTTTTACAATGTCTCATAAAACAAGACGACTTGTAATTTTGTTTCTCAAGTCAATGTATATAGATTGCACTGGAAAACTAGACAAAAATACTGAGGAATAACATCAGCTTTTTTTGCTGTGCTGTACAGTAAAAGTTACTTGGTTTTAAAAAGTCTTAAATTTATCTTCATAATACTATATATATAGTTTTTATATGGGTCAAAGACGAAAAAGGGTTTAAGCATAAAAACAGTAAGTGTAATACTGCTTTAAATTGTTGTTGTTTCCCCCCCCCAAAAAATAAAAAGTTTTTAATTTAATTGCAATTTTGTTTTTGTTTTTCTGAGCAAAAAATAAATATAATTTTTCCCTGATTTACAGAAGAGACCCACTAAAATGTCATTCAGTGTAACAATCTTGTCAGGCATATTTACAACAAAAATAAATTTATGACATATTAAAAGACTAATTACTTTCACCCCAAGTTCTAATTAGTTGTAATTTTACATTTTTTAAATTTGCCACTATCCTAGGTTTTGCCCATTTGTCAGTAAGAATTTTTTACTCATTTAAAACGCAATCAAATTTAATATATGCTCCCTTATACCTTTTATATATTTTAATATGTACACGTCAGAATAAGCTTGTTGTTTGAAGTTTTACATAAATATTGTGTTACACTGAATGACAATGTAACATTATTTCAACCAAATTTTGACATTTTATTCTCCAAAAACTTATTTGAAACCTTAAAAGTAGACACTTTACTTACATTTAATGTACTTTCTATGGACATAAAATCACTTTTGTAAAT